TTGGAAACATAATGATGACTTCAATTACTGTATCTGTAGAAAATTTCTGTAAAAAGGACTGGAAAGTAAGGAAGGCAAATTTGAAGTTATAGTTTTGAGAGAGGAAGACCACTTAAGGACTACTCTCAGCTTTTAAGTATTTAGAAGTATTCCCCTTAACCTTAAACTTTTTATTGTAAATGTAAAGTTGAATTTGAGAATGTTCTTCCCCCAGCTGATACTTGGAAATGTCAGAGATCATACCATATTGGATGTTAATGCTTGAAAAAAATAAGGAATTCTTATGTAGTCATTTGTGAAATTGTACTTGCCAATTAAAAAAGAAATTATCTGAAGTCATTCATATAATTAAAAAAAAAATAAGGAATTCTTATGTAGTCATATGTGAAATTGTACTTGCCAATTGAAATTATCTGAAATCATTCATATAATTAAGAAAGGTCTTGAACATCCTACTGAGGTCAAGACAGGGAGGAAAACCCAGATGGAATTGGAGTTATGGAGAGTTCTAAATGCTTGTCTTTGCTTAGAAAATCTGTCAAAGGGATTGCTTATTAAGTGGTTCACAGAATACATGATCCTGAAGGAGAATAACGAGAGTGCTGCATGATCCACCTAGGAGTCCCGCTGAGAATGGTACAAGGGGCCGCATAGTCTGACAGAGTAGGTGCAGTATTCTTCATGGCTGTCGTGAAGCCCTGAACTATCCTCTGGACATTTTAGTGATTCTTCGAACAGTTTAGACCCATCAGTGGTTTGCTCCCTATGACTTTGTACTCTGCGTGGTGTCTGTGCATCTTTTTTTGCATGGCTAAATAAACCTGTTTTCACTGGCGACAGCGATAAGTAGAGCTTGCTGCTGTGTATGAATTGTATTTATGGGTTGAGTCAGGAGAGGGAAACTGGTTTGGAAGAGGGAAACTGAAGTGACTGTAAATCCATGCAGGAAATGTAAGACCTGGGGTTTCTTTTGTCCCAGGGTTAAATAATGTATTTTGTAGCAAAAAGTCATATTCTTTTAGGAGAAAGTATGTCAGCTCTAGTGGCAGTGGTGCTGTATTAAAAACACAGGCCATTTAGGAGGGAAGGGAGCCTCTTTATTAGACTGATTGCTCTGAATTCTAGAAGAAAAGCTTGTAAGCCCCAAATCCTAACTGCTTTCTCTAAAAACTACTCTCACAGCAGCTGCCCGTACCGACCTGGGAATGGTTTGTGCTTTTAGTTAAACTCTGAAGGGAATAAATACCCAACCATGATCAGGGCAAGGCTCCCGCTGATGGCGGGACCACCAGGTGCTGATCTCTTCCAGGTTCAGTTTACCGATCCCAGGGAACAGAAGTTTCGATAATGCCAAGCCGAGTCAGGCTGGGTAAGTTCCCTGTTGGGGACACGCACCTGCCATGCACATTTTTGCCCAGGTAGCTGTCCTGAGGCCCGCAGGAGGCCGGGGCAGAGGGAACGAGGGTTTGTCACGCACGGCCAGGCCTCCTGGGGCTGCCTCATCCTTTGAGGTGGCTTGAGGAGCCCGGCCTGAATGTGGTGGCTCAGTGCGTCTTAGTGGTGATGTGTGGTGGTGGGTCACCTGAGCGCCATGCGATGAGGTGGTGCATGGCAGCAGAGCAGCCTGGCCCAAGGCGTGGAGCTCCCCCTGGCCAGGTTGACTGCAGAGGCCCAGAAGGGAACCTGGTTTCTATCCCTACCCCGTGGCGCTGAGCCAAGCCCTTTTTCCTGAGCCGATTGCACGCAAGCCCCCGACACTCATCGTCCATCTGCCGGGTGGCTTGGAGCAAGCGCTTGTTGAAGCAGGAGAGAGTCACCAGGAAAGACCAGCCCTGTGAGTGGACACCGGGCTAAGCATTTCATCCACATGGGCGGATATAACGTGCATCCGTAACGCACGGATTAGATGTGCTCAGCTATTACCAGCGATGGGCTCCCTGGGACGTGTCGCGGCTGTCCTCTGGGTTAGAAATGCAAAGGGATCAAATAGTTTGGAAAGAAGCTACCTCCGCGGTTATTACTGCTCTGAATTAAAAATGACCCCAAAGCCAGAACTATTCACCGCCTTCTTTCTTCAGACCAGCACTCAAAGGCAGAGTGTTGCTTTCGAGAAATATGGTTTTAGACAACAAAAGGGGAAGCGAGCGCTATGAAAATTTAGTTAAATGTAAATGTGTTAATGGTACATGAACTTGTTGGGCTTTCATGATTTATCAGTTTTAGACTTCAAAGACTGGCGTTAGCTTGCATTTTTAAAACTAATGAGTTTATCACAGCCAGTGGGGAAAAAAACGGTTCGAGTGTATCATCTGTAAATTGGTACAAAGCAGTAAAAGGGACATTAACCTGTAATCAGATTCGAACAGTTCATTAAAGCTGCCTTTCCCGACTGGCTCTCTGAGCCCCCGTCCCCTCCTCCCGCTCGTGCCGCCCGTGCAGGGCGGCCTCGTGGCTGCTCTCCCTCGGCCGAGGCCTCCTCAGGGATGCGGAGCACCTGCAGCTCCTCCTGCTCTGCCCAGGCATCCTGGGGGAGGCTTCGTGGCGGCACCTTCCCGCTCTCACTGTGCAGATCAACTGTGCTGTTGTCTGCCAGGGATGGGAGGAGACTGCCCAGCTCGGCAGGATGAGGGCGCAGAGCTGGGAAATGCAGCCCCATGGGAGACCATGGGAATCCGAACGGCCCCTGCGCAGCGAGTGCACCGATGTCCTGGGGCAGCAGTGCCCTTACAGAGGGAGAAATGAACTACCAGCTGTGTTGGGAAGAGGGGTTTAAAGCCGGGAACGGTTTTGCTGTTTGGTGGCATCCCAGCCCCTCTTCTGTCATCTCGTCACCTCAGATGCCTAATAAAGATCATAGAATCGTAGAGTCATTAAAGTTGGAAAAGACCTTCAAGATCATCAAGTCCAATTGTAAGCCTGCTAAACCATAGAATCATAGAATGCTTAAGGTTGGAAGAGACCTTTAGAGGTCATCTAGTCCAACCCCCCTGCACATGTAGGGTCGCCTAGAGCACATGGCACAAGACTGTGTCCAAGTGGATTTTGAAGATTTTTGTCTCCAAGTGCCTCATCTACATGTTTCTTGAACACCGCCAAGGACAGGGACTGCACCACTCCCTAGGCAGCCTGTTCCAATGCTTCACCAGTCCTTCTGTGTAGAAATTCTTCCTAACGTTTAACCTGAATTTCCCTTGGTGCAACTTGAGGCCGTATTCTCTTGTCCTATCTGTAGTTATTCCAGAGAAGAGATCGACCACAGCGTCACTACAGCCTCCTTTCAGGTAGTTGTAGAGAGCAATAAGGTCTCCCCTGAGCCTCCTCTTCTCCAGCCTAAATAACCCCAGCTCCCTCAGCCGCTCCTTGTAAGGTCTGTGCTCCAAGGTGTGCAAAATGAATTGAAAAAAAAAAAGATATTAAAATGCCTTTTTTTTTTCTCTCTCTTGCTCTCTGTTGTGGCAAGCTAAAATATACCAGGTAGGCAAGGGAAACATTACCAGGGAATGAGACATCCTAATGGGTTGTCTTGTCTTCATTTTTATGTATTTGGACATAGAATCGTTTATTTGAAAAGGAGTTGCTTGGTCTGGAATTTCATAAAAACTTGCGCTTTTATAACTTTTTATCAGATATCTTATTATAAAGATGAGAAGCAATGTAGTCTTTTCCTCTTTCGCTGCATTTGGTGGCTGCTTTCTTGTCGTGTTCCCCTCTGTCCTGCATTATCAAGCCCCAGCTTAGTGTATTTTAACACATGGGCTCCAGCTGAGGGAGATTTAAAAAGGGTAGTTGCTCTGCCCTGGCACCGTGTTGCAGAATGGGCAAGTCGCTTTTCCTCTTTCTTAGCAT